AGTTTATGTTATTCTGTAAAAATATTCCTTGTAATTTTTATATTGCTTGCGTTGTTTTATCGGGGCCAGATAGCTAAAGTATGTAAGTGAAAATTTAGGAAAAAGGGACGATTTTGACAATGTTTGCGTAATCACAGAGATGAACCTTCCCGATGTAACACCTTCGTGTGAAGCGTACTGCGCAAGTCATTGCGTAAGAATTGATTACGAATCTTGACATTTTCTGACATTTTGATGGATGATTGACAGTTCGTATCTGGTCCCCATAAAAGAACTCGAGTAGAATTTCCAAGCCAGAACCAGTTGAACGCCGAACCCATTGAGTGTGCTGAGAAGACAAATAAAGAAGTTATAACCAACGATCCATTGTAGTAGTGAGAGCCGAGCTGACCCCCATCAAAGTTCTCAAAGTTCTCCTATTACAAACTGGTGGAGAATCCGGGTCGATTTCGGCCGCCGACGCTTGGCCACTGTACGTGGGTTCCTGACGTCCTCAAAGCCGTACGTGATTTCCTGACGTCCTCAAAACCGTACGTGGTTTCCTGACGTCCTCAAAACCGTACGTGGTTTCCTGACGTCCTCAAAGCCGTACGTGGTTTCCTGACGTCCTCAAACTGTACGTGGTCTCCGTACGTCCTTAAAGCCGTACGTGGTAAAATAAAGCCACCACCAACTCCTTACGTGAAACACCACCTTCGCCAGGGTTGTGTAAGTGGTCTTTTACTAACTGTACTGTTACATATAACTGTTTTGTCAGCCATCCAAGAGTTGAGGCTGTGACGCTCCGGATAACATCTCTGGTACCTATCAGAAGAAAACACAAGCAAGAAGAAAAGGATTGACGAAAAGACTAGCCAGACACAGGACTGACGAAAAGGATAGCAAGAAGAAACAGGACTGCGAACAGGAAACAAGTGAGATGCTCCATTCACTGAACAATTTACCTCGCCATTGCCTTTATGAACTGAACATTTTCACCTAGTTTTAGTTCTCCGTCGTTTAATTCACTTATCTTAGCTCTAGTTTTTTACTTAGTTTCGCGTTTTTTTTACTTAAATCTATGACTAGCGATTTGTTTGCCCCAGCTGTGGATGTCCTTAGACCCGCAACCTAGTAAGGCATTAACACGCTCGCAATCCAAAACCTCTTCTAAAACTGCTAATTGTACCTGCTCGATAGGGTCCCACAAGGCAACGTCCAAAATGAATGAAAAAGATAAGAAGGAACTAGCGGATATGTTTAATGGTTTGGTCACTTCACTTCGTAAAGATATCGAGAAGGAATCGAAGTCCAATACCTCAAAACTCACGTCTTTACGCGAGTCCCTTGAGGAACACATTGAAACGGGAAAAAGGTCCAATAAGCTCGGTTTAAAACCAGATTATTTTTCGGGCAGCACGGACGAGGATGCCAGTCAATGGCTGGATTTTTACGAACGCATAGCGCTCATTAACAATTGGACTGACCCATTACAACTGCAAGCGTTTCCATTATATTTACGAGGTATTGCAGGCAGCTGGTTTCTTACGTTAGATGAGTCAATTAAGGCGGACCTTCCTGCGCTAAAAAAGGCGTTTAAAGAACGATTTTCTTCGGGTCCACATAAGTGGATCCTTTCACAACAGTTAGGCACTCGAAAGCAGCGCCCCAATGAATCGCTAGATACCTACGCCAAAGATATTACTCGTCATTGCAAGCGACTAGGACTGTCAGATGCTGATTCTATGCGCTATTTTATCGAAGGCCTTCAAAGCGATTTGCAAGCTTATGTTGCGCTACAGCAGCCCAAAACATTGCAGGAGGCTGAGTCATTTGCTCGCATGAAACATACTATTAATCAGCGTCAGGGTTTGTCAGATAGCAATAATTCTTCATTACATCAAGTAACCGCATTGCTAACTCGTATATCTGATAAATTAACTGAGAGTCCTAAGCCCCCATCTATTGCTGCCATAAGTAACCCACCAACAGAGGTAGAGGATACGCGGTTCGAAATGATATCTAAGCAAATCAAGCAGTTGCAACAACAGCAGCGGCGCATGCAGCCTACGAATGGAGTAGCTGCCTATGACGCTCCCCAGGGGGGACCACGACAATATCCACCCTCTAATTGGCAATCCTCATCTCAAAGGCAGGTCGAACAGTTGCAGCGGCAGGTTGCTCGTTTGGAGAATGATTTGCGTCGTTATCAGAACCCTCGACGCCCTGATTATCGCTCTTATGGGAGAAATTTTCGCAGTGTAGAAGGGGACCCCATCTGCAGTTTTTGTAACCGGGTGGGGCATACCTGGCGCACCTGCCGACAGCGTAACCGGGACCCTAGGTTGCCCTCAACTAATACCAATGGCCCGTCTCGCCCACCTACAGGGGGTAATCCTCCCTTTCGCTCGGCTAACCCACAGGGAAACGCCTAGAGGCTCTTGTTGGAACCGACTCGCAGCCAGCAAGAGCCACCCCGGAGCATTTATGTACATATTCATGTAAAATAGATACAGTTGATCAACATAGTGGTTCTCATAACTCTGACTATAATTTATGTACATATTCAGCTGAAGTTGATCAGAATGTAAATACTCCGAATTCAGCCCTTCAAGTTAACTTTTCACAGATTTTATCTGATCAAAGTAGCAATTCCCTTAATTCACTAGGACACATCAACCCATATGAAAATTCGCTTGATCAGGATACTGTTTCTCAACAGTCATCAAGCGAGTTGTGTTCACAATTGGTTGATCAAAATAGTAGTTCTCATTTTTCATCTGATGACAATAATGACGTTAGTTTCAATGCAATTTCGGATTCAGAAGTTTCACAAAAAGTATACTCATGTACTGAATTGTCTGGACAGTATTCAAGTGGAAGTTTTCCCACTCATCCAAATTCAAATGAGACCTCGGCCGATCTCATTTCTTTTTCAGAGTGTGAATCTCTTGATATTTATACCGATAATTCTTTGGAACAAAAGTTTCCAGATCAAACATTAGATCATACGATTTCGGAGCCAATTGATACACAATGTAATGGTCCAAATTGGTTTCCGATGGAGATAGGTCACACTGATATGGAGTGTGTTCTTGATGAAACACAACAATATTTTAATAGAACATGGATGATAATTGTAACCCCCCTACCTATACCAGTAATAATACCCACGTGGAAGAATGTACTGACATAAGCATTGAAGGAATTACCAATGCCAATGTTACTAATATGCATGCAGACGATTACCAATTTACCACTGATGAAGTTTCCAGTGCACTTAAGGAGACCATGGGTAGTAATCATGATCCGTCTTCTCATTCTGGGTTGTTTGACTCTGAGCAAACACTCTCCCATTGCCGGCAGGAGAGTAGCTCTCGCAATCGTGCCCAGGATGTACATAAACTATCGGATAATAAGTTTGACGTAAGTTACCCAGACCATACAACAATTAATCCACCCTCCTATGATGCAGTAGTAGGAGAACAATCACGCGCTAGGTGCTACGATGATCAGGTGGCTATGGCTTTGGTTTCGGATACCATCCCCATTGAGCGCTCACTGAATGCCGAAACCATGCTGTCAACCCCAGATCCCTCGTCGCTAAGATCATGTCTCTCTGGTTTCCAAGGCCTTGACCAGACAGATATGCCCTCTCGTGTGGTTGCTACAGACAACATGGCTACATCATCTCTTCCAATGGCACCCCCCACTGCGGACGATTTGCTCACAGATGAACAGCATTGTGTCTGGTTGACACCTCCACAATCACCGCAACCTAACAGTCTGGCTGCTGTTCATAGTGCAGATGACGAGTTTACCCTTCCATCAGATAGCCTCTATGTCCATGGAATACTACTGGGACGATCGACACCGATGTTGGTGGATACTGGAGCATCGATCTCCGTGGTCTGATGCTTCCATGTCTGTCATTACCACTGAGGACGTCTCCCCAGATGTCTCCACTGCGTCAGCAGATGACAACACTGTTCCACTGGACCTTTCAGATTCCACGCTTACGGAAGGCGAGCAAGCCCAGCTGAGGTCGTTGGTTGCTGAATATCGCGACATTTTCGCACTGTCACCAGACGAGCTGGGTAGGACAGGACTGGTCCAACATCACATTGATACTGGGGACAGTCCTCCAATACGGCAACGCCCATACAGAGTCTCTGAGCACCAGCGTGGCATCATTGAAGAGCATGTGACAGATATGTTAAACAGAGGAATCATACAGCCCAGCGTCAGCCCATGGGCATCGCCCGTTGTCCTGGTCAAGAAAAAGGACTATACTGATCGTTTTTGCGTCGATTTTCGTCGTTTGAACGCAGTCACACGAAAGGATTCTTACCCTCTGCCTCGCATTGACGACACATTGGATGTACTCAGCATTACCCGTTATTTTTCAACAATGGATTTAATGAGCGGCTACTGGCAAGTCGAGGTTCACCCAGACTCGAGGGAACACACCGCCTTTATTACCTATGGTGGCCTCTACGAATTTCTCGTGACTCCATTCGGTCTCTCCAATGCGCCCGCGACTTATCAAAGGCTCATGGAATGTGTTTTGCGCAACTTAACTTATAAAATCTGTTTAATTTACTTAGATGACATTTTGGTTTATTCGAAAACTTTTCCTGAGCATCTCAATCATTTGCGACAAGTTTTTGACAGGCTTAGGCATGCAAATCTTAAACTGAAACCATCTAAGTGTAAATTTGCATGTAACAAGGTTCATTATTTGGGACATGTAGTCTCATCAGAAGGAATTGCTCCAGACGAAGATAAAATTTCAACAGTTAAGGACTTTCCTCGTCCTCATAATGTCAAAACAGTGCGTTCATTCTTAGGACTTGCAAATTATTATCGTCGCTTTGTCAAAGATTTTGCCAAAATAGCAGCGCCTTTAAATCAATTGCTTCGCAAGGATCACAAATTTGTTTGGACCGCCCAATGTGAAGAGGCATTTCAGGCATTAAAGGCAGCACTGATTTCTGCACCAATTCTTGCTTTCCCAGATTTTTCAGAAATTTTTCATTTGTATGTGGACGCAAGTAATGAGGGTATTGGTGCTACTTTAGGTCAAATCCAAAATGGTAAGGAGGTAGCTATTGCCTATGCTGGCCGTGATTTTAATTCTGCAGAGCGTAACTACAGTACCACAGAGAGAGAAGCTTTAGCAGTAATTTTTGGTATCAAAAAGTTTGAACCGTATCTCCATGGCCGTAAGTTTGTTCTCCATACTGATCACCATTCTCTCAAGTGGCTGATGAACATCACAGATCCAACTGGACGTCTGGCGCGATGGTCTCTTTTGGTCCAACAACACGATTTTGAGATTCGACACCGACCAGGTGTTAACCATGCCAATGCAGATGCTTTATCCCGACGCCCATACCAGTTGGTGCCGCCTGAAATCTCTGCTTATGATGTCCCAGGTGTGCAGACGCCCAGAATTCGCGACTTGCAACGACACGACCGCGATTTGGCCGACCTAATCTCTTACCTTGAGACGGCTACATTGCCTGGTGACAATGCTTCTGCACGATCCTTGTTACTCATGGTGGACGATTATTTCTTAAGCCCAGATGGTCTTCTTTTCCACTTATGGACCCCAACTGGGTCACGACGCAAGACTACTTACCAACAGTTGGTCATCCCAGCTTCTCTCCGATATGAGATTCTGACTTGGGGCCATGACGATCCAACCGCAGGACACTTTGGTACTACCAAGACGTATGAGAAATTGCGTACTCGGTACTACTGGCGGAACATGTTTAGTGATATTCAACATTGGACCCGCAGCTGTGCCGACTGCTCCATGCGAAAGACACCTCATAATCGCCATAAGGCCCCATTGATGCCTATTCCAGTAGAGGGTGCTTTTGATCGTTTGGCGGTTGACTGTTTGGGTCCTTTGCCAGAGTCTACACGGGGTAACCGGTATGTTGTTGTTTTTTGTGATGCTCTTACACGATGGTGTGAAGCCTTTCCGGTACCTTCCATAGACGCTCCCACCATTGCCCGTCTTTTAGTTGATGAAATTCTTTGTCGCCATAGTGCACCAAGAACTCTGTTATCTGACAGAGGAAGTAATTTCCTTAGTACCTTGATCAAAGAGGTCTGTCAACTAATGAATACCAAGAAAATCAACACCAGTTCTTATCACCCGGCCACGGATGGAATGGTAGAGAGAATGAACAACACGATTGCCGAATCCATTTTCATGTTTGTAAGCTCCAATCAGAAAGATTGGGACTTCTTTATTCCATCTATTCTCTTCGCTTACAGAGTGTCCCCATGTGTTTCAACTGGAGACAGCCCATTCTGCTTGCTTTATGGTAGGGAACGTCGCCTCCCTCCAGATGTGAGTTTGTTACCACCAACAGAAGTCTCTTCCTCCATTGTGGAATACCGGAACAGAATAGTACAGCAAGTGGAAACGGCCCAATCAATAGCTCGATGTAATATTCAACGCGCTCAGCAGTTAATGAAAGCTCAATATGATAAGAAGGCTAAGGATGCTTCCTTTCAACTAGGTCAACGTGTCTGGGTTTACACCCCCAAGGGAAAGAAGGGTCTTTCAAAGAAATTACTGCACAAATGGCATGGCCCTTACCGTATTTGTCGAATACTGTTACCAGTTCATTACCAGCTTCGTACTTGTGACAATCGCATGATTGCAACAACTGTCCATGCTAACCGCATGAAACCCTTTTACGACCCTTCAGATAGGCCCATTCAGCCACCCACTGATGATCCAGCTAATGAACCTTTCCTTCTAGCATCTGAATTGCCTGATGACAGTTTTACACAAGATAACAGTACACCACTAGTACCCACCAATTCTGATCAAGCACCGGAAGCCAACAACGATTCTAACAGTACTCCTGTTGACTCCCCAGATTCTCTGGCTGAACCGGATGTCTATGCAGCAGAACGTATCCTTCGAAGCCGACACAAGAATGGCAAAGTACAGTATCTGGTCAAATGGGTTGGTTACCCTGCCTCTCAAAGTACATGGGAACCGGAGGAAAATATTTTGGATGCACGACTTTTGGAACAATTCCACGATAAGAATAAGTAGATTAGTGCTTTTCATGGCCATATTTTATTTTTTGGTTAGTATTCAATGTAATATAGTAACTGCACAAAGTAATTCTCAACAAGCTGATGATATCCCTAATTACGACGCACATGGTAAACATATAAATTATTATCCTGATGCTCTCATGATCTCCTATAACCCACAAGCAGTTGTTTTCTACCAAGACACCAAGTTATTTAATCTGTATGTTGACTTACGTACCCCTACTATTGGAAAGGACTTCACTGTTAATGACTCCTGTGCACCAGAACAAATCAAGTTTTTGAAAAGTTTGCTGCTCCAATTACACATAGTTCAAAAAGCCACACAACGACTGTTTTCAGCACATGGTTTCACTTCCTTAATTGAATGTGATTCATACCTCTGTCGTTTTTATCAGTATTCTACCGGCTTTTCAGCTACTATGAATTGTCCTTATGGTTATAAGAAATCACTTCGGTTATGTAAATCAAGGGCCCTCCAGCATTGTACTAACATTTCCCCACAGGAAAGACTTTGGTTACAACCTCTGCGGCGTACAAAACGATCGCAGCCATGGGCATGTACAGCTGG